TAGTAGATAAGTGGATCTATTGTAGTCATAAGCCTAGGCTATTGTCATTAGGGCTGCAAATGAACCGAGTCGAGTATGTGAGTGTTCATATTTGTGTTCGTTTATTATTAACTTATTCGAGTTTGGTTCGTGTTTGATTCGAGCCTTATTGTTTGTGTTCATGTTTAGTTCATGTTCGGTTTGTTTAGTGCTTATCGAGCTTTAAACAAGCAAGCCTTAACGAGTTATGTTCGTGAACATATTTATCAATTTTTTTTATATTATCAAACAAGCACGTTCATGAACAATTCTAATAAGTATTACTGAGCTATCAATTGAGCAAGATCATGAATAAATACATAGCAAATATTTTCGAGCTATCAAATGAGCTCATTCACGAAAAAACGATATATGATTCATCTTATATTTGTTCATGAACATCTTAAACAAACAATCTATGAAACATTAACAAATGTGAAATATCTCTTGTTCATGAACAAATTCATTCTATTGAAGGTATAAAATAAAATGAAATTAACTTTATAATAAAAACAGTTGTCTATTTAAAATGAAAATATAATTAATCTATATGAATATATTTATCGAGCTTATTCACGAGTTTTAAATCAAATACGAATCAAGCTTTTATCGAACTTAATGTCAAGCTTGTTCATGAGCTTCAAATAATGTTGTTCATGAACATAAATGAACCGCACACATTAGTGTTCAAGTTTGTCTATTTAAGGACTGAGTATTAAAAATGTCGTTCGAGTTTGTTTCTTTAATTAGTTAAACGATCACAAATAAGCTTTAATCAAACCGAGCAACGAGTAGCTCTTCAAACGTTTGGTTCGCTTGCAGCCCTAGTTCTCATTACAACAACAACAACATAATCAAGCCTTTATCCTACTATGTGAGGTCGGCTAAATGAATCATTTTTCTACATTATGTCCTGTTAAGAATCAAATTCTCATTTAAATCTAATAAAATAAAGTCCTTGCTAATATTTTCTAACATAGGCAAAATCTAATACATCTACTCTCCTAACAATCATCGAAAGACCGCCATATTACATGACCAAACCATGTAAGACGAATTTCTCTAATCTTATATCTCACTAGAGCTACTCCAACCATTTCACGGATATTCTTGTTTCATATCCTCTCTAGGTTGTTCTCATTGAATCAAATAAATTTTTCATATGCATTGAGTTGTGTATTTGCTATGTTTGCTTTCTTGTCTATATTTTCTCTCTTTAAGGCTCCAGGAAGCCATAGTAGAACTTACAGAAATGCTGCAGGCATCACCGCAAATGCAGGACTTCAAGCCTTTCCTGGCAAATCGATTCATGGCTACCCTAACTCTACAGAGGGCAGATTGGGAGACTGTAAAGAAGCATGTTGGGAAGGAAAAATTGCAATGTAGGATGGAAATATTTCCTCTTTCTGTCTAAAGCTATTGGTTCTTTAGTGGAGTAAAAAGCTGAAAAAACTTTAAAAAGTTTGTTCGCAGCACCCTCCTGACAACCGAAGTTCACAGGTATGGAAGGACACCAAAGTGGTGGAGCTACTTTCTCTCTACTAATGTAATGGATTTCATCTAGTTGCTCCAGAATTTAACACAATAAATTTTTTGGTGTAAATAAGCACTCCCGATATGAGTGACCTTCTGGAAGTTACACCAATGAGACAAAATCATGAGGCCATTAGACTACCAAAAAATATCTTAATAATTAAGAGTTTGAGTTGTTGCAGATGATATCAAAGTAATACACCATCCGAAAGATTGGAACTCTGCCTTTAGAATCATTTTTCCTAGTGGATGATTCTGGACTAAGAAAACCGGCGAGAACATCAACTATCTAAAGAGGGGAGAATGTGAAATCCCTAAAGTAAAATAAAGCTAGATTGTTAAACATCGATTCACCTTTTGGTGTAATGATTAAAATTTTAAAAACTTCAAAGTCAAACGTGCTCCTATAGAACACTCATAGTATGGGTGACTCCTAAGAAGTTATACTAATATGACAAAACCATGATGTCATTAGATTAAAGCGGATAATATCTTGATAGTTACTAGTTTGGGTTGTTACAAGCGTGAAAGACAAAAACTTTGGATTTAGTAAATACATCTATATGACTCTAGAATGATCATCAACAAAAGGTAACAAAATATTAAAACCCTAAACATGTAAGAATAGGACTATGACCTCAAATATCAAAATAAATTAACTTAAACAAGATGATATTAGGACTTACTATAAAGGAAAGAAAAATCACACAATGATAGTTCCGTAGCTCACAAGCACATATTCCAACTTGAATATAGAGAAGGGCATAAAAACATAATCCTAAGTCATGATAGTGGTGTATAACCCAAACAATAATGTCACTGATACGATGTAATAGTGGATGAGAAGGCAGAAGGAACTTTGTTCGACAAATAATAAACTTTGCTAACTTTAAAACCTCCACCAACTATCCTCCAAAAATAGGGATCTTGAAAAAAAAAAAAGCAATGATATGGATGCCGTACTAGTGTTAACATCATCAATCCTCTTTCTCATATTGAAATCCTGAAAAATAAAATTCGATGGATAGAAAAGAAACGACGAATTCTAATTAGAAAGTAAATTTGGGAACATATAACATATTTAGAAGAAAAAAAAAACCCTAAAAGAAAAAGATAGAGCTTTAACCAAACGCAGAAGAAGTGAACCATCAGCAAAAATGATATGAAGTGGAGAGGACATACCAAGGAATGAGGAAATTTGTCAATTACATGTAATATTTGAAGAAATACCAAATCTAAAATCAAGGATATACCAAAAATAGCAACTGCAAAACAAGAGAAGAAAATTGCATGAGACAGAGTCAGAGATATTGAAAACATTGAACTAAGTGATCATAATCTTTCTAAGAAGCAGTGACGAACCCTAATAAGATGGTTGGAGTGGAAGACCCACAAGTACTCATAGAGGGGCTATGTTGGGGAATGGAGAGAGAGCCAAATTTGGCCCAGCAATGCTCTTATAAATTATTAGCACACCCACAGTGAAAGTAATAGAAAGAATTTTTCCCCATGACCATGAAAACTATCATTCCAACCACAACCACAGCCGACATGATGCCTCAAAGCAAGGGCAGACTGATCAAAAACCAAAAAAGAAGGAGAAGAAAACTCAATAACATAAAAACTAACGAAAAAGCAACTTTAATATTGGGTATTATAAAATCTAACAACAACTGAGATTACGCAAGTCAATGTCATAGATAAAGCCAATTGATAAGTTTGGCTATAAGAAACTCATTTCTATATTTTTATCATACAATCGGATCAGCAATAAACGGTTTGTATTGAAGAAACTCATACGGCATACCCCGCAAGATACTATAGCAATACTAATTAAATCATTATATTGTACACAAAACAAGTCAAAATAAATTGTATATACTTGGAGATATTACTTTTTATAAATAGGCATAGTGAGGAAAATCTCACATTTTTTTTATTAATTCATCAGAAGATAGAAAGCAATGTTGCGAGCGGATGAATGGACAACGATTATCGAAATTTAGCGAGTAAATGCATGGGAAACTGTAATCAAGGTGCAAGCGAGCGAGGCATGGGTGAGTGAGGTAAGAGTGAGTGAGCTGTTGGCCTGCAAGGCATGGGCAATCAAGCAAATACGCATGAACGAACAACAATCACGAGAGATTAGATTTGAGCATGGGATCTAGGCAACATTGTACACGAGCAAAGTCATGTGTAACATATAGGCGTCAGTGAACAACAATCATGAGAGATCAAATTTGAGCATGAGATTGGAGCGATGCCGTCCATGGAATTAACATTGAAAGTCATGTGCGAAAAATATGTACAGACAAGTGAGCAAATAGGCGTGAGAGAGCAACAATCACTAGAGATCACATTTGAGAATGAGCTCAAGGTTGCGTCGTACACGAGTTCAAGTGAAAGCCATGAAAGCCATGTACGACAAGTAGGCATGCTAAGGAGGTGGAGGAGAGGCAATGGCTAGCTTTACTAACCTATCACTAAAAGCATGTTGAGGTAAATCAGCTTTGTGCTCCTTATTCGGCAAAAGTACCCCTCATTTGTTAATTAAGAATGAATGTAATATCTTGAAGAATACCTTAATAAACATGATTCATTTAATAAAAAGAATTTTCAAAACACAAGCTTATGCTAACATAGCGGTTTAGGCAAATATGACCATATAAAAAAGCTCGACAACATTAACATGGAAAGATTATGCTGGAAAAAAGGATAGACATAAGATAACATGTCCACCAATCTTACAAAAAGATAAACACAAACTATTAGCACTCCATGTAGCCTTAGGAAAAGGGATGGATATTGACGATTTATAAAGCCAATTTCAATGTTATGATTAGGCTTACAATGATGAGAAACAACATATATGGGATCCTTGGTAATAACATTTTTTCAAAAAAAAAACATAATTCATAATAGCATAAAAAATATGAAATGAGATTTTTGTTCCAAATAAGCCTAAAAAAGGGCATAAATAGAAAGACTTGTCAGATGATGAAAAAAATTCCAACACATTTCATACAAAAAGAAACTAAAGAAGAAAAGGAAACAATATCAAAAGCAACAATACATAGACAAAAAGATAGCTAAAATGAGAGCAAAGTGAAAAAAGAAAACTACAACGATATGACCTTTGAGGAATGATAAAAGTGTGATTGGCATCACCTAAACACTGAGATACAGCAGTGAATGCATTGATTGAAAAAACCAACATTTGCATGGCTTCCATTAGGTACATGCTATCAATCTCAAGCTTATCAAAGCATACATACTAATTATACATTTCTTAAACCAGTAGCCAAATTTGTAGCATAACGTCCCTAGGATACGTAGTATAAATCACTAACCTATCAATGTATAATAGAAAACCCATTGAATTTCCATTTTATGATAAATAACCACAATTTTTTTTAAAAAACCACACTTTTCAGGTGCATCTATATCATTGGAGCAACATAGTGCACTATGGATGCCTTTAAGCATACAAAGAATCTTACACTATTAAAATGAGAACCAATACATAAAAACAAAACAAAATCCTAGAAACGGGTACATCAACGGAAAGGAAAACATTAATCAATAATGGCATAATTAAATAACATTTAAAGAAAAACCTATATTAGCTATGAACATCTCTAAGATGTCCCAAACATCACAGAGTTTAAAACAGCAGCATAACCTTGCACTTAATTTGGAAAAGCTCTTGCAACTCACTCGTGCAGCGTTTACTGCATGCCCCTGCATGGAAACTTCAACATAGAGAAAGTCAATTAGCGCATTAAAAAGAATACACCCAGCTAGAAATAAAATCCTAATCCTTTCAAGAGGGTGGATAATTCCTAGAAGAAGATTGGTGAGAGCAAATTTTCTATCATTTAGCTTAAGAAATATAAAACTACATGGAAGCTCAGTTAGCCAGAAAGTTTTCAACCCAAAACTCATGTTAGATACACATGAATAAAATTAAGAGCTACACCCTGTCTTATGATCTCAGAAACCAGCTTCAAGTTGATTGGAATAACAAAAGAACAGACCCACTGCAATGGTGAACCTTACCAAAGCTAAAAAACTACTCACATCTTTTACCTAATTGTCACGAACTTGTTGGTACCATGCTTAGCCCAGAAAGGTTTCAGGTCTATTGGGTTACTGAAATCTTGGCCTTCCCCTGCAAGTTTCTCCAACACTTTCTTGAAGGCACCCTGACTCATTTTACGCCCAGCAATGCGTGCCCCTTTCCTTTTAGTGCTCATCGGCAATGGATACATGGACATGCTTGTCGTGCAACAAGCTGACTGCCACCCACCAGCACCCCACCTATAGCACTGCTGCGGCTGGCCCGTGCAAGTGCAGAGTGGTGCTGGAATTCCCGACAAGTCTAAATCAATCCCATTAATAACCATATCAAGGTTCTTATTCGCCGATCTTCTTCTCCCAGAAGAGTTAACAGACTCTTCCTTGGGTGCAATAGCCTTCTTGCCCATGTTCTGCTTCGAATGCTTAAAGGGGCGGCCCTGACCCTTGGATCTCTTCTTCAAGGGCACAATATCCAACTGAGAAACACCGGGATCCTCGATGACTGCTGCCTTTTCTTCCTTTGGGGGATCCACTGGCTGAAGCATTTGAAGTGTATGGGCGCTGGTTCCTGCAGAGGCCACAGTGGCTTCAGGTAGAAGCGCTCCATAGCTGTTTGAGTGTTGGTGATGGTTCCCTGGGAAGACATGAAGAATCTTTCCGTTTTGATCATTGTTATGGAACCAAATGTCCCGTGAATAGTCAATCGGCATAGAGGAGAGCTCAGGCGTGCCTTTTGGGGAAAATATACATCTTTTGGGGGAGAAAGGTTCGGGCATGCCGCATTCCCGACGGGTATAGTTGCTACCGTGGCCGCCGGATAGAAAGGGCATTGTCATGGGTTCTCCAACATTGGACATTAGTTGAAGGCCAAGGTTTCCCTTCAATGGCGGCGGCCGATAATACCTTCCCCAGTTTTGTAGCCCTGGCGTGCCTTCGTCGTCCATCAAGATTTCCTCCTTTCTTCTTCGATCGGGTTTCAGCCACCCCTAGAGAAGTAATGCCATTAAGGCCGATCGAGTTGAGTCAAGACGAAGCAAGTCAATGTAACACAGGAAGAGAGTGGGGAGCGCTTACCTGGGAGAAAGCATCCTCTAGGGTTCTTCGCCACTGCTCGATCCGGTAGATAGAGATGAGCGGAGAGAAGAAATATTTAATCGGTCGTTATCGTTGTATATGTAATCTTCAAATTTAAAATCACGTCATTAATTATATAAATCAAAGCAAATTTAATTATATCAAATTTAAATTAATGTTAATAATAGTTTAATTATTCAAAACATTTATACAAATTATCTAAGGCATTTAAAATTGAATATATCATTAAGCAAATATTATTTAAAACATAAGAAAATAAATATAATTAATTTAAATTATTTAAAATTATTATCATATTTTATGTACATTCATTGCACTCTTCTAAAAAATTTAAGATTTCTTTGGTGGACCAAAAAAGAAATGCACTTCAAAATTAATAGTGTAAAAGAAATATGATCTAAAATGAATATTTTAGAGTTATTTGAATGATTGTAAAATGAGCGTATGATTTTTTATTTTTTGAAATAAAGTGAATGCAATATAAAGTATAAAAATATTGTGCCTGGGTCGGTAGGGCGGTGGAGGGCATGGTGGTTATTGAAGCAGTAGACGATGGCATCAACATGTGGCAATGGACAACAATGAACAGAGGACGGCGGCAAAGGCTGGTGGCAGGGGGGTTGTTATATTCATCTTGTCAAGACGCTCGAATCGATCATAAAATCTCAAAATTGTAGATAATCTAATCATCCAATTAATGCTTAAAGTTTTCAATTACGCATCAAATATTTGATTTGGGCTCATTTAAACTCCGATTTGATCACATTTGACAATTTGATTCGTCTTACCAAAATATGCAATTCTCATTGAAATCAAAGTTCAAATGATCCTAAATTAATTTCAAAAATTTATCATTCAAATTTTAGCTCGATATTCATGCCAATCAATTAATTTTTTTTAGATATATAAGTAAATAATTAGAGTTACTAACGATAAAATATTTGCATAGATTAAATATAGTATCCAAATCTTATCTCCTTATCCGTGACACGCTTCATTGATGGGGCTATTTTTAGTTTCTGCACGAAGCGTGTCATTAATTAGTGATAAAAACTAATAAGATGATGAGGCTCTATTTTTGTACTGGCTTTGCGGGCAGGAAAGTTCCGGAAGTAGAGGAGATAATGATCTCGGATGGGCAGTTGTCAGAAGATGGGGAATTTTTAAGAATATCCTTTACTTATTCATTTTTTTCTTCTATATTTGTAAAGTATTTATGTATGTACGCCATCACAAATTTATCTTGATCGGGCATGAATCTCAAGATAAAAAACTAATTAGAAACTACAAAGATTAAATTCATGAGCATTTGAACTCCGATTTTAGTGAGCTTACAGTCAAACTGAGCGTCTCGGAAATACGAACCCAACGACACCAAATTCAACCCAATCCGAGCCCAAATGGGACCGAATCAAGGACCTGAAGCGCTGTTGGAAGGTTCAAACCGCAATTTGAGTTACCAAACGGTCTCTGATTTTAACGAGCTTATACTCGAATCGAACGGCTCAACGAGAAGAATCCAACGAGCCCAAGATCGTCAAATTCCGACATCCTTAAGGCCTCCAAATGTCCAACGAACGGTGCACGATCGAAGGGTTCAATATCGGCCGTCCATTCAAACCACTCCTTATTCGCCCCTGATCTCACACCTATTTACGAGCCATGCCACTCAAGAAAAACTATAAATAGAGCCATCATTCTTCACAAGAGGGACTCAAGTGAAGAGAGAGAAGGAGGAGAAGGAAGAAGCTCCTCCTCGACCATCGCCAAAGCTCTTCCCGCCGCCTGAAGACGCCGCAACTCTGCCGGATTTTCGGGAAACGCCGGAAATTTGCAGAACTTTGTAACTCTGCTTTAAGTTGTAATCTGATCATCCCGATTTGAGGGACGAATCAGTTTCTTGTAATTTACAAAAACACTAGTGGAGCTTTTTAGCTGGGCGAGGCCCCGTGGTTTTTTCCCTTTCTGAGTTTTTCCACGTAAAAATCTTGGTGTTCATTTCTCTTTTCTGTTTGTGTGCTGAATACTCATACAACACTCGGACGCGCAACAATTTACACTACTACCCAATCATCTTTAATATTAATATAGAATATATTTTTTAAAATATAATTATTCATGCCTCTAAAATTTAAATAATTTCTGGTATATATCAATTTTATGTTCATGATTCCTTTAAAAAAAGACTTATGCATAGGACTAAAAATAATCATTTCAAGATGGTTTTTCTTATATCTTATATTTAGAGGGATATTTAAAATTAAAAATATTAGTTTTATTGATTTAAAATAAAAGATTGAACAAATAAATTTAAATTAAAATATAATTGAGTTTTATTTAAAAATTAAAGTTAATATCATATATCATCATATATCATATTTTTATGGGCAAAAAATTTGTGGCAATAGAGATTTGCATAGATATCTTAACTTGCATGAAGATCTAATATATAGATGGAAATGGAAATGATTTTATGTTTTGGTTTAGCTTTCTTCCTTCATTGATTAATGTGGGTGCTGGTATCGATTTTACATGATGGATTGTTTTGGGGGTGTTTTGCGGTTTGGCCTTCACGGATTGAGCTTCGGGCAGTGATGTGACAGTTCTTTTATCATTGCCTGAATATTGTGGTTTGTTGGGAATCATTGGTGGTACATTTTTTGCTTTGTTTGGTGGCCTTTTGGGATGTTAGATTATGCTTTGACTTTTTCAACTATTTGGGCATTTCCTCCTCTGGATGGTCCTTGTTCAGCCTCTGGGTGATAGGCTTAAAGCTTCTTGCCAACGATTGAGCCCGACTAACTTTTGTCTTTTTCAATATTGTCGTTTTCTCTATGTTGTAATTTGTATTGTATTTTTAGCTTTGTCTTTGTTAGGACTTTTATTATTGTTAACATGTAGACCCCTTCGTGAGTTTTATTTTTTATTTTTAAAAGATGGAGATAGAATGAAAGTTATACGGGTGTTGGGCTTAGAGATTTATCACGTGACAATAATAGCCAATAAACATTAAACTTTTGTCGTTCAAAGCTGATTGATGTTGGTCTTCCTTTGCCTATCCTTTAGGATGAAATCTCCTTGTTGTGGGGCCCTAATTAGGGCCGTCAAAATCGGATCATGGGTTGGATTCAGGTCCAACCTAAAATTGACCTGACACTGTTCAACCCGACCTGAACCCGACCCATTTTTTGCAAATGGGTCGATTTTCCAAACTCGAATCCAACACGCTTCGGGTATATTTTATTAAATTTTTTATTTAATTCAATTTATTTAAATTTAAATCAAATTAAGATGAAATTTACTTCAATTAATTTAAAATAAATCAAGATTAATTTAATTTGGGCAACAATTTTTATAATTTTTTGAAATATCATTTACTTATTTCATAAAAATCCATTAAAACCATCCTAAATTAATTAAAAACGGGTCAAACCGGGTTGATTTCGGGTTTCTGGGTCAACCCGAACCCGACCCCGTCTTACAAACGGGTCGAAATCCCTAAACCAAACCTGACCCGATTCGGGTTCGGGTTGACCCAAACCCGAAATTCTCGGGTCGGGTTCGTGTCAGGTTTTCGGGTCGGGTCAAATATTAACACCCCTAGCCCTAATATCAACTCTAGATGCCTCCTAGCTCTATCGTGCAGTGACTTAACCACATCCCAAGTATGATGCATTATCTAAGATTTATAAAGAGATTGGACTTTGTCTTTGTCCATTTAAAAGAATAAAAAAGTAACCTTCATGTTTGTTCTTTGTTATGGTCTCTAATTAGCTCAATTATGTTAGGCTGGAAAGCAGCAGTTCAACAAACAGAATATCCTTATGCCATTAGAGTAATATGAAAGGAACATTAAAGAATAATCAATCATTCAGAATGAACAATGCCAATTGCGATGATTCTCCCTGAGGTGTTTAAACTGTAAATATAAAGAAATAACTCACGACTATTACTTCATACAACTTAATCGACTGGACAGCAAAGCCCAACATGCTATCAGTCTATATCTTCACTTCCATTCAAGTTGTGTTGAGTTGTCACCTGGAGAAGTATATAAATAATAATTGTGAGATAATTTCAGTAAAGCTCAATGTGAAAATCTATAACTTAATAAAATAAATGATCATCCCCAAAAATCCATTCAACATATATCATCATGTAAAAGAGTGGTGCAGCAGCAGGAAGGAGAGATCCACGCAAGAGCTAAGCTCAATGGAACAGTAAAAACAGGAGAGAAATTTTGTATTGAAAACAAGCTAACAATCTCTCTACAGCACACGAGCTTAAGAGGAGAAAACTACTCATTCTAGAAAGTTGAAAAGGTGTAGGAAATAGAACTATAATAACAGAAAAGTACTAAAGCTAATAATAATAAAAGTAGTGGAGCTTGAATTGAAGGTAAGATGGTCCGCCAGGTCATCCAGGTAAGTGCTGCCTGCATCAGCTCTCCCCCGCTTCCGAATAGCTCGACTCCGACGAGCTTTCAATAATTTGAACTCCATCAGGTGGGTAGTAGTTGTAGATATCCGATACGTTAAATGTAGGCGAAGTAAGGATCTCAGGAGGAAGATCAATGATGTAGGCATTGTCGTTGATTTTGGGGCGGATTGGAAACGGTCTCAACTTTCTCGGGCTAAGCTTGGAGTAACTGCCCTTGTGGAACCCTCTCGCGGCGCATACGGATCATCACCAATCACCTGGCTTGAAGCTTTTAAATCGCCGGCGAGTGTCGGCTGCCAGCTTGTACTTGGCACTTGATTCCTGTAGCATATCCCTTACCGACTGAATAGTTTCAGCTGCCTCAGAAATGGTCTTGCTGGCTTCGGGCTTGCTGCAATTCGGTAAGATAGCCAAATCAACTAAGTGGTTAGGGGGTTTAGTATATACCACCTGAAACGGACTAGTCTTAGTGGACCGATTCACCAATGAATTATAGGCAAACTCCGCATGGCTGAGAAGCTCCTCCCACTTCTTAGGATTATCTTGGACAAGACATTGCAGCATATTTCCGAGCGTCCGATTGACGACTTCCGTCTGACCATCTGTTTGAGGATGGTATGCGGAGCTCAAATTAAGGTCAGTTTTTAGGCATCTCCAAAGCTCCCTCCAAAAGTGACTGACAAACGTAACATCGCGATCAGAAGTGAGACTCCGGGGAAGGCCATGTAACCGGACGATCTCCTTAAAAAACAGATGGGCAATGTTGACAGCATCGTATGTCTTCTTACACGGCACGAAATGGGCCATCTTGGAGAAACGATCTACCACCACCATGATTGTCCGCCCCTCGTTTGGTTTGCGGTAGTCCCAAAACGAAATCCAAAGTTAAATCTTCCCAAATGGAATCAGGTGTAGGCAAGGGAAGGTAAAGCCCCGTGTTTTGTGACGTACCCTTATAATGTTGGCAGACGGAGCATCTTTCGACATACCTTGCTACGTCTCGCCTTAAGTGCGACCAAAAGAAACGGGATTGTAGCAACTCAAGAGTTCGGTCTCGCCCAGTGTGTGCCGAGAGACCGCCACCATGAAGTTCCCGAATCAGTTGGGGTCGCCACGAAGAATCTGGAATACAAAGATTATTGCCTTTAAATAGAAACCCCTGTTGTAATGTGTAGTCTTGTTGAGGCCGGCCATGCATACACTCGATCCAGATGTGCAAAAAATCTTTATCGCATGCATAAAGAGCCTTAAGTTCCTGCAAACCGGTGATTTCTGTCTGCAAAATGAGTGAGCAAAGCAGCTCGCCGACTTAGAGCATCCGCAACACGGTTGGAATGGCCGGCTTTGTGTTTGATAACAAAGCTGAATCTCTGAAAGAAAACTATCCAACGGGCGTGCATACGACTGATGCTTTTTTGGCTATTAATATATTACAGGGCTTGATTGTCACTACATAAAACGAAGTCTTTATGCAGCAAATAATGCTCCCATTGCTTGAGCGCCCGGACCACAGCGTATAACTCCTGTTCATAGGCCGACCACTTTTGTCGAGCTGAGCTCAATTTTTAGTTGAAATACTCAATCGGCTTAACTTCCTGAGATAATACAACCCTAACGCCTATGGATGACGCATCAGTGTCTACTTGAAATGTCTTATCAAAGTCAGGGAAAGCTAATACGGGTGCGGAATAAAGGGCGGCTTTAATTTTGTCGAAACTCCGCTGTTAAGTAGGCGTCCAGGAGAATGTCGGAGACTTCAAGCAATTTGTTATAGGAGCCATAATATTACTGAAGCCTTTAATAAATCGTCGATAGTAGTTGGCAAGCCCATGGAAACTGCGCACCTCAGTGAAATTTGCGGGAACAGGCCATTCCCGAATGGCCAAAATTTTCTCATGTGCTGTCATGAAGCCTGTCGGAGTGAGCACGAAGCCCAGGAATTGGATGTTCTCTACCGCAAACTCACATTTGGCTAAATTGAGGAATAGCTGATGCTCTTGTAAGGACTCAAGAATTGATTGAAGATGACTCATGTGGAGAGTTAGAGAGTTGCTAAAAATCAAAATATCATCAAAGTAGACCAAACAGAATTTATCGAGGTAAGGCTTCAAAACCTCGTGCATGAGTCGCATAAAAGTAGATGGCGGAAATAATGTCCGGGAATGTGTCTAGTAGCTTCTGTACATCTGGTGGAGGAACTTTATCAAGTGATTTGGACACATCCGCAACAACTAGAGCAAATAGGAGATTTCCATCCCCTTTGAGTCTTAACAATTCACATTCCACGATTATACAAGACATAGTAAGACTCGCGGGGTCGGTATTTGGGGAAGACCCAACAGGCATTAACTTCAATTTCTTTCCCTTTACCTCTACGGTATAAGTGTTAGTCCAGCCATCGTGGACGGCACCTGAGTCATACTGCCAAGGTCTACCGAGAATAAGATGACACACGTCCATGTCAAGGACATCACAGGTGACTTGGCAAATGTAACGCTTGCCAATAGAGAACGTGATCTTGCACAGTTCCGATACGAGGAAGTCGACTCCCTTTTTAACCCACCCTATTTTAAAGGGATTCGGGTTTCCAGTGGTTTTGATTTGAAGGGCTTGAACCGCTGCCTTGGAGATAATGTTCTCTGTACAACCACTATCAATTACCAGTTCGCAAACCTTATCACTGATGGTGCATTTAGTACGAAACAACTTATGCCTTTGAGTGTCGACGGGAGTCCGCGGGGCCAGTAACATTTTCTCCATAACTCCCAATATGGGTTCACCATCATCTGCCAAAACTTCCTCCACCCATTCTTCAATATCTTATTGAACACCAGCTGTATCAATTTCCTCCTCGCCTTCTACTAGCTGTACTTGGTGTCGAGCCGGACACTCATTCGGCTTGTGTCCGGGTTGCAAACACCTAAAACATTTGATCACATTGGGCTTGGCATACGGATTCTCACGTGCTGGAGCTCGCGGTCGACCGGTTCCCTTAGATTCCGGAGCTACATTAACTGGTGCTGCCGGGACTGTAGAAAATTTTGTTGGTGGAGTCACAGTTTTGGAAGGTCCAGCATTACCGTCTACGAACGATAGGCGGGGAAGGCTTGTCCAATAATAACGTTGAAATTGGCTTTCCGCCTTAAGGGCGAAGTTTACGGCTTGGGAGAGGGACCAAACTGAATTGAGTTCTAGCTTTTCTTGAAGGTTCTCCTTCAAACCTCCTATGTATCGTGCCACAAGCTAGTTCTCGAATTCCGTCAAGTTGTTTCGAGCACTCAAACGATAAAACTCCTCCGTATATTCATGGACCGGTCGGTGACCCTGCCGGCACTGCTGATATTGAAGATACAATAATTGTTCGAAATTCGTGGGCAAGAAATGCCTCCTGATGAGCTGCTTCAGACGACTCCAACTACGGATTGGGCCCTTTCCTTCACGATGTCTATTGTGGAGCAGTTGCAACCACCACGCACTAGCTCCACCTTTGAGACGACAAGCCACATACTTAACTTGTTTCTCAGGTTGAACTTCCATATAGTCAAAGAAGTTTTCTACAGCGCCTTCCCAATCCAGATAGTCTTCAATGTGGAGTCTCCCGTCAAAGAAGGGAATATCCATTTTTATACGGAATCCGTCAGTTTCCATCCGTGGCGGACGGTGTCTTCTTCCCCTGGCCGGTTGAGGAAAGAATACTTCTCCTTCAGAATCAGTTTGCTCTGGCCTCGGAATGCCCTCTTCTTCTGATTCTGAATATTCTGGCATTGGAATGGGACCTCTTCTCGGTACAGGGATTTGACGGACTGGTTGCCTCAACTCAGGTAAGGTTGCCGGAGCAAAAGGTCGCGCTATTGGAGTTATAGCTGCTCTTATTTGGCGAAGCTCGTTTCGCATTTCCTCTGCGAATCGGCCGAAGCTGGTCATCAGCTCCTCAAGCTGCTTCGACGTCTGTCGGTGGCTCTCCCACAGGGACTCTAGACTCCGATCGCCGTCGGGTCGGGGGTGGCTGCTGCCTTCCGCCATTCTCATGAACAGCCTAGCTCTGATACCAAAATGGTGCAGCGGCAGGAAGGAGAGATCCACGCAAGAGCTAAGCTCAATGGAACAGTAAAAACATGAGAGAAATTTTGTATTGAAAACAAGCTAACTATCTCTCTACAGCACACGAGCTTAAGAGGAGAAAACTACTCATTCTAGAAAGCTGAAAAGGTGCAGGAAATAGAACTATAATAACAGAAAAGTACTAAAGCTAATAATAATAAAAATAGTGGAGCTTGAATTGAAGGTAAGATGGTCCGCCGGGTCATCCAGGTAAGTGCTGCCGGCATCAAAGAGTTTCCTGAACAAACATTCTTCTTGTTACTATGCAAAAACATTAAACCATGAAGACTTTTTATATCAAAATTGGCATCTCATATGATGTTCATATCATCAATCAGCTTGGGAAGTCTAAACTAGGTAATAGAGTGAAGAATAACAAAATCCACAACCAGGTGAGAAATTAACGTAGCAGTAGCCTAACTACCGGAGCCCTGCATTGGTACCCATACCCACACCCACCCATGCCCATGACCTTCTGGGTGGGTACTCAACATCGGGGGATAAATCAATATTCATTACTAATCACCGTATATCTTATATTACTGCAATCCTTACTACGTAGTGCATAGCACTTAACCACACTGCGAATACGGTAAATTCTGATATGCGGCTTGAAAGTTTGCAATCAGAGCAAAAAGGCAACAAGCCTCAAGGCCATCAATCCATGACAGATGGCATTCAAAAAGCATGGAAAGTGGGTGGGTATAGGTGGGTATGACATTCCAAAAGTCATCATGGTTGGGCGTGGGTGGGCAAAGCCCGTCCTAGTAAAGCATGGGTACCCAACCAGGACCCCATGTAGGGCTTTGCTAACTACTCAGGTGAGAATTCATCTTCTGTCTTTTTAGTATCTTCTAGTATGATGATTATTACTGGAGTGTCTAATTAGTCCAATGAGGCTTTATAAAGCTCATATATCTTATAATCTCTAAATGTTAGTACCATAAAAAGAAACATCAGCAATAGCCTCAACATTTCATCAATGGAAGGTGTCTCATTGTAAACAAAATAGACAAGTTGAGACCATGCAATTCGCATAAAAGCATAGGGGAGCACGCATGCATTGAAAAAAGTATAAGAAACCAGCTTAAAATGTTTTGATACCTGATTTGAAATATTTAAAGCATATTTGCCATAGGCTGGAGGCTGATATCTAACTTGGCTGATATCATCGTCTCAAATTCCTTATAGTTGATCTGCCCATCTCCATCCCTGTCTGCCTCACGTATAAGTTCATTAACTCCATCATCAGTTAGTTTCTCTTCAAGGTTTGCCATCACTTGATGGAGCTGCACATTCAATACCAAAGTGCCACAATTCAGAAAAAATTCAGATGTTAGAACATACATCAACCTTTATATGAGAAATAATACAATCACTTGACAAAGTTTAAATTAACTTTTATTTTGATTTTACTTTAATAGAGAGGAGAATGGAACTTACTTCGTCTGCTGAAATGAAGCCGTTCTGATCCTTGTCGATGATACGGAATACTTCCATAAGCTCAGAATTAATGTCCTTTAATGACGGGAGTAAGTTAGTAACATTGAGGAGAGAGAAAACAAAGGAAAGCAAGCATGAGGAGAATCAAAACGCATGAGGCTATCTCTAGCAAACATAACATATTGGTGCCAAAGGATCCTGAACAGCAGGGCCTACATGAACTAGCAAAAAACATACAATTTCAAGTTCTTTCAAAATAAGGCTAGATGCACGGCTCTTTCAGTAAGACTGCAAAGATGGTAAAAATACAAATCATTCTACCTGATACCACTCATTAAAGAGTGTGGACCAAAAATAGACCAAAATTGGCATGATGCATTAATGGTGAGCTTAAGCATCCAACCATTCCTGGCTTGAGAAAACCAACGAAAAAGATTCTTCTAATTATGTACGATAGTCTTTAGCATGCAATGGGAGATGAAAAGTCACGCAAGCATAGATTCCATGATTCGTTTATCCTTCACTTGGATCCAGTAACAGAGCCAAAAAAAAATTGTGAAAGGAGCGCTAAAATTATTCTAATTTTTGAAGAGGGTACAAAATCAAATTTTTACTACAAGAAATGTTTATTTATATATATCTATTATACATGATGACAAATGAAAAAGTTAGGATTGATGTCATCAATCTATTGTTTTATCAGATCAAGTAGAAATATCTCAGAAATTTTCTTTAAATTATTGATTCATAATTAACATTATATGACAAGAAAAAACTTTTTAATTAATATTAACTTTGCAGTAGTAAAAGAATAGCAAAAAAGACGCCGATTAACATAATACGATTTCTAGTAGAGGGCCAATAAAGCTTAAAAGCTAACCAAACCAGAAAATTTATCATATGAAAAAACGAGAATATCATAACAATGAAAACAAACCAAAAGAAAATAACAGAAACTAGTACGTAAGGGTCAGTGCATCATTGACCAAATTAACCAATATATAACAGTTAGGGCAGTGTTCTACGAACAAAAAAGGGCCATCACATTAGTGAATGATGTAAAAAAAGAGAATCCAAAACACTACAAAAATTGTCTATAGTAAACCATTACTACGTACATGACTTGAGCATTGGCATAGAGCTTATGATAGAAGAGATGAACTTACTTTCATTATGCTTTTCATAAGATTCAGGAACTCCTCGAAATCAATGGTGCCACTATTATCAGCGTCAACCTTACTGATCATGTCTTGCAATTCCATTACTGTTGGATTTATACCTAATGATCTCATCACTATACCAAGCTCTTCAGCAGTAATGGAACCTTCATGGGCATCACAATAAGATTAATATTATCAAGTGAAAAAAATCGTCCAAGTCAGCCAAAACAAATTGTAAGAGGTTATCATATCATTTAACAACTGGTATTGAATGTGAACCAAAGAAACATAATTTGAGGTTGATTCACTAACACCAGAAATCTAAGTTAAAGTCTACAATTTTTTAATTTTTAAGTGAAAATCAATCACTTGTACTTCTAAACAATTAATAATAGAATACTACCATCACTTCCTCAACAATCATATAGGCTTTGTTTGGGACGGTTTTTTTATTGCTTCTTAAAACAAATTTTTAGTTTAAAAATTAAAAATTTTATACTAAAAAGTTGCTTTAAGAAGCAGTAAGAAATTTGTCCTAAACGAAGCCATAGTTTCCATACGTGTCACCACTCTTAAATTTATCAAACATGATAGAAAACTCTACAACTCAAAAAAGACCCAAGGCTCAAGTAAGTTACAAACAACACAAACAATTATGATTGAAATGATCAATTAACTATGATCAAAAAAATTAATTAACAATGATATCATGTTAGAGAGTTTACACTAAAATAAAATAAAAAATGAGTTTGTAACACATGATTATGTATTTTCAACCCAAAATTTTTTAAGCATATGGAACTGATATGTTTTTAACTCAAGGTTGGGCTTGATATGTCATGCAAAAATTACGAATCTCAATGTAAGTCGAAGGGATAACTTTCAAAATTTAGCTACAAATTATCCGAAACTCGATTTCAATAAACTTATAACCAAACTTATCAACTAGATGAGACGAACCCAATAAATTCAAAAGTTATCTAATCAAGTCAAAATGAGCCTGATCAAGCACTTCAGGAATAGATGAAAGCTTCGGGGCACTCATTGGAGGACCAAAATGATCTCTGAATTTTACACTTTTCATCTACTCTAAAGTTATCTAAGCATTGCTTTGTTTGGTTTTTTTGTGCTTTTGTAAAAGACAGTTTTAAAAAATATTAATTTTGAAAATGGAGTTTTTTAAGGGAGAAGCATATATAAAAAGATTTCTCAAAACTGCAGAAAAATGAAAAAAATGGAGTTATTGGGAACGTGATTTGACGAACCAAAAAAAAAAAAAATCCTCCAAAAGGGAAAAAAACGCTCAAACAAACAAAGCCGCCGCAACGAGTCGCTGACTCGGCTCCTTCGGCGACGTTCCCTTCCTGTCGGATCGGATTTCACGACGTTTCGACGACGTAATTCCTGTGGGATTGGAAGTAACGACGGGAACCCGCTCGCTGTAAAGTAACCATCTTTCTCCCTTTCGCGCGCTTCTTCGACCAAATCCGTAAATCCGCCGAATTCGGGGATTTAGTAAATCCGGGATTTACGGCAAAAAGAGGGATACGGAGGAGATTTACCGAGTGCTCAAATCCCGTTTGGCAGGATTTAACATAAATCCTGTTAAATCCTGTTGCCAAACAGCCCCTAAGATTGAGCTTGAGAGAACGAAATGACGATCTTCCTAAATTCTAACAAATGATGTTGGGCAAGGGGTTTCTGCGCACATACCGTCGCCATCCTTATCGAAGTGGTTGAAAGCCTCCCTGAACTCCGCCGTCAGCCTCTCCGCCATTTGCTAAAGCTTTCAGAAGAAAAACAAGAAGACTGATCCTACTGTTTCTAATACTTTCAGTCTCTCACTTTCTCCTTGTTGATTGCTTTGACAGAGAAAGCGAAAAGAGTTCAGCTTACAAAGAGATTAGCAACCGCTTCCGAACCGCGTACCATAATAAGAAAAAAGAGGAGGCTAAAGGCTACCGTGCTCTCTCCCTTCACTCCCTCCTCCCCGCTGAAATTCTCAAGGAAAAAACAAAAGTAGTCGTGCTCGGTGCTCACACTAATAAGCGAAAAATAAAGTTTTAATAAAATATATTTAGATAAATTTAATATTCTTAATTTTATATTGAGATTAGCATATTTTAAATTGCATTAATTTTAGGTTAAATTTTAAAATATATCCTCATTGTTTTAACGGGGAAAATATCTGAAAATTTCCCTGGTGGGCCCGTTCTCGACTAGTCGACTACAAAAGACCAAAATTATTTGTGAAACTACCGTACTAATTGTTAATAAATAATGCTTATGATAATACTAATAGGATGATCAAAATAACATCCAAATATGAGGTGCTTATAGTCGAATCAAGCCACAGGCGAGCCCACGATCACCGAATTATGAAATTATAAGACACTCAAATGCTCAATAAGTGTCACTGATTGAGGGAATTGATATCGACCGTCCACCAAAACACTCCCAATATGCCCTTGATTTCCTTTCTATTTATTAGTCATGTCACTCCTATAAAACTATAAATAGACCTCTTATTCTTCAGTGAAAGGGATGAGAGCAAGTAAGAGAAAGAAGAGAAGTAAGGACTATAAATCAAGGAGCTATTTTGCTACTAGACTCCTTGATCACCGCCTTGCTATCGATCGTCAATGAACTTTTGCCTGGCCACTAACCATTGTTGGACTTCCGCCTGACCACCGACCATTGTCGAACTTCCTCCCGCCACGGACCGCCGTTGGACCATCACCCAGCCATCGACCATCACGGGACTTCCGCCTGACAACCTACCATCGCCAAACTTCTACCCGATAAGCGTCAAACTAATTTTCTACTACTGTTAGATTTTTGCCCAACCATCATCATTGATTTTTCCTAATAAAAATCCTAGTATTTCTAATTCTATGATAATACTGGGTATCCTTATGACATTAGGATGAAAAACTCTCTTATTTTATCGTCGAAAATATTCTAGCCTGCAACAATAGGAATAAAATTTCTTTTTTTAGGGAGTTTATGCTTAGTCTAAATATAATAATCAATTATCAAATTAATTAAATATCTCTTAGATGGGGAAAAGTTCTAAAGCAAGAGGCCCAAAAAAAGTTACCAAAAATAAAATTTAACCCAACAAATAGAATATACAAAATCTCAAAAAATAAAATAAAAGTTATGTTATAACAAATTAAAATTTTAAATGTCTTATACTAAATTTAAATTTATTTTAAGAGGATCAGAACATTTAGCAAAACAATTAATGCATGTCTCTTTAAAATTATCTCAAATCAATTCAGCAAGCCCTTTTCACAAGCCTAAAGCTAACCTATTTTATCCACTGTTTTAAAATTTGGACCGAACTGATATCAGTTCATTGGGGAACTGGTCAGGTAATCGGTCCGTTCAAACTCAAAAATCTCTTTAACATTAGACCGGTTAAAACCGGAGTGAACTGCCGGTCCCACCAATTTTTTTATTCAAACATCACGTTTTAAAAATTATGTTTACACTTTACACTACCAAATTATTAAATAAGTCATCTCCAACTGAAAAATTCATTTTTCATTCTAAAATACCGTAAAATTTTAAAATGCGATAATTCATCTCCAATGGAACTCCATTTCCTTTTTCCACACGCTTCTTTGCGAATGTAATCATCTCTCTTGTTTCGCTCACTTCTTGTGAAACTAAGTAGAGTGCGAAGATAATCACTTTTTTTGTTGTTGGTGAACAGCACAACACCAACAAATACTATTCACCCACCGATTTTTGGCTTGAAATTTGGAGTTCGAATGCAGTGATTCTCGAATGACATACAATGACATGCAGTTCGGTTGGAGATATCTAATAATAAATTCTAGCTAACACGAGCGCCTGAAATAAGCCTTCTATATGAATAAAAATCACTCGCTAACCTAACAAGTGAAGCAAATAGATAAATACCATTAATACCATATCAAAAAACGAAACTATTAATCTGAGACTATTCAATAATCCATATGCACATAACTTGAAAGAACCTATAGATAATCACAAAAAGATGCTAATTCTGTCCACATTGTCTCATTCCGCGTACAGCTCAGACTCACCAACAAGAAGAAAAAAAAAACTGAATTCCAAACAAAAGATGTAAATGTTGAACCCACAGATAGTATCAAGATTACAAATATAGCTAATGTTGCAGGCAGGGAGTTTGAGGAGTGACATGCCCGCTTGCACTTCCTTGTGCATTGATGCAATAAGATTGCAGACGAATATTGGCTTGCTGAGGAGTAAAGCTCACTTCACTCATGGTGATGTCGCGGCAGGGCATGCTCGAGCTGCAAGCCAGTTTGATTGCCACATCACTGACTGAGCTTCCTTGCAAACCCAGATACGATACCTCGCTTATCGCCACATTTCCCGTCTTTGATCATCATCATCAAATTCAAATGAACAAAAAAGTTTCATTGTTAGAGGCTAATTAATATGAGGATATAAAGGCTTCGTTTGTGACGACTTTTTTTTATTCGCTTCTTAAATCAGCTTTTTAGTTAAAAAATATAAAATTTTGTTAGAAAGCTGCTTTAAGAAGTAGTAAGAAAGCCATCCCAAACGAAGCCGAAGTTAGTTGTATAGTGCTCACCTTATTTGGACAGTTTAGTTCGGGGCAGTAGTACTGATCGATGACTATGACACCTGCTTTAACTGAAGTGAAGTTGATGTTCTCATAGGAGATAGACTTGGCATGACCAGCCCCACCCTTTCAAATGCACAATTACATTTAGCAGTCAGAGAATTGTATGCTTGCAGGAAATTAGCATTAACTGTGCATTAATTTAAGGCTATGTTTGGGACGGTTTTCTTAGTGCTTCTTAAAACTATTTTTTAGTATAAAAATTTTAATGTTTGTACTAGAAATCAGCTTTATGAAGCAAGAAGAAAGCCGTCCCAAACGAAGCCTAAGAGATAGAACTATGATTTGGTTCTGACGGACGATACTGGATTAGCATATTATTAGGTGAGCTTAACTTATAACTTTGCAATATAACAAGTAACATTAGAAGAGTAATGAAGCTATACTCTGATAACTTAAAACAAATAAAAAAATCATTGTTTGTTTGTGATTTTGTCTACCTGCCATGTCTTAATCCTTATACCAGTAAGGGTGTTAAAAATGTGGCTGTTGGAGATATGAATTCCCTCAACATTGTCTTCAACGCCATTTTTTCCAAGGCTTCCAATGCTGCACATGAATTAAAACAATAACGTTATGTATTTTTCTCTTTAGCCATGCATGAGCCTAAAATACCTACATTAAACAAATTTCATTAGAAATTTTATGACGAACCTTATTCCATGACCAGGCCCGCAAGTAATATGGCTCACATTAATATCATAGCTACGTGGCCCGATTGCGATGCAGTCATCTCCTGAAGATGAGTAAACTTTCATTTTTATATGATATATGATAATTAAAAATTCAAAATATGGATGGAGGCAAGGATGTACAATCAACAATGTAAATGTAAGAAATTTGTATAAGGCATACCTACTCCAATTGTGGAGTATGAGATGGTGCCATGCTGGGAATCAGAGATAAGAATTCCATCAGTATTTGGCGAGTCCTCAGGAGAAGTGATTTTGAGACCGCTCAGCGTTACATAATCGCTTTTGTACACCACTAAATGCTTTCCAGGGCTGTCCTTTAGGTTAAGATTCTTCACTCTAAGATAATCACATCCCATAAACTCCATTATCTGATGTTATTATCAGAATTTTTTGCATTCAAAAGAGGCCAAAGTAAACGAATTCTGTTAAAAATAAATCAATAGATGACAATCAAGCACACTGGAAATAGAGATATATTCATACTTACATATGGTGCATCCCTGCATTGCTGTCGGTAGAAAGCATGAGAAGAAAATAGAAACTAGTTAAGCAAAGATTTGAAGGCTAATTATAAATAATTAATTGCATAATTAATATCATAAATGAATTTGCTAATAATAGCTAGCTCAGCTTACATTTTTGGACAAGCAATCCCACCATATGGAGCCTTTGCCATCTATTAAACCATTACCGAGAACAGTTATTTTTGGTATGTTTTTGAATATGATCCACGTATCGATTTGATTTGTCCACAATCTGTTTGGGGCCACAAGACCTCCACTGATCTGCTTGTCAATTCAAAATTTTGATTGATTTAGATATAATGACTGTCTTTCTCAAGAAAATATTTACCCAAATAGTAGAATGATCAAAAGTAACATAATTACCAAAAATTTCAAGCTAGAACTACACGGCCCTTCAAATATTATTTTGCTTAGCAAATAGTTCTTTCCTCCTTTGCCTGTCACAACAAAATATGGATTTCTAGGATCTGCACAGGCAGCTTTCCACGCATTCAAAAAAGCCTTTATCGATAACAAACTAATTTGTTAGAAAAATATTTACATGTTTTATTAAAAAAGTATAAAAAAAAAAAGTTAAGAAGAAGAAGAAGAAGAATGCATAAATTTGAAGAAACAATTTACAAAATTTACCTTAGTGTCATCTGTTTTGCCATCTCCTCTTGCTCCGTATGCCATCACATTATAAATTGGGGAAGCTCCAGCAATAATCGCAACCATCAAATATAAAAATATGATTAATACAAATTCCTACATAAATAATTTAAAAATAATTAATCTACAATGCAAATAGAATGCCATTTCTAACATTTCAAGGAAGATAATAG